TTAAAAATTATTTACCACTTGGTACTTAGGTAACCAAGTCGTGCACATACAATATTATATACATAGTACATGATAAATCACACTCCAAAGAGTCATGAGAAACAAAGTCAAATACGCCACTGAACCGCATCATTTACAGAAACAATATATTTTTATTATGTGTGTAATGTCTATTTATAGATTATACACTTATTGATTGGAATACCAAATGAAACTACTACCTATTATACATATTTTAAACATTTATTGTATCTAGACAAAATAATAATAATAATAATAACATAAGCAAACAAATAATGAGAAAATACATTTAAACACAGTGTGTTATATTATATTATACAGGATGATTCACCAAGCATGCTCACCCGCTGCTGTTTTTTCTTTGGTTATGCAGTTATTTAAAATCTGATTTTTGGAATTTTTAAATATACTTAAAACCCATATTTTCCAATTCTTAAGGGGTTTTTTTTTTTTGTAATGCTTGAGGAATATCCTGTGGAGAAACTTCTGTTTTTCAAATGAGAATCTTCTTTTTCAACTGTAAATTATTATATGTTGAGGATAATTTTTTTTTTAAATTTGACATATCAGAATGAAATTTCTAACGAGTAGTATTTAAATTAATCAGCATAAAGTTCCAAGGGTGGGTTCATATATGATACGGAAGCTATGATGACTTGATAATGTTAATTTTTAATATTGATCTATCAACATTAATAGTTAAAGTAAAAAACGGTCCAGGTATATAATATTAGTTCCAATATTACATCTATTTTGTATTTTTGTAAGGACTATTATCCTTATTAGTACAAACATTTTAATAACTATGAAATTAATCATTCAAATTTTGAACTAGGTACATCAACAATTTCTAAAAAAAATCGGAGTTTGTCGATTGCGTCCCGGACACAGGTAAACGATTTTTTCCTTACCTTTTCTGTGTTCCAATTGCGTCCTATTGTTTAGTAGGTAAGCGCAAAATTGACAAGATAAGGCTGGTCATCGATTAGCGATCGATCTATCTACTCAGTACGTCTGTAAGTAACGATATAAAATTATATCTCCTTTACAATTTCTTAAAACTGTTTCACTTAAAAACCCTTTTTTTAAATGATGTATATTATTATTATTTTTTAACTCTGATGACTGACTAGATATTATGTATTATTAAAATTATTTATTTTATTTGGACTTATTTTTATTGATTTTTGTGTATTTATTATTTTTTAATTCTGACAACTGACTAGATATGTATTTTTTGAGTTCTTTAATAATTAAAAAATTAAAATATTAAAATAGTGTAATTTAATACATATTATTTATTATACAATAGGACGCAATCGGAACATAAAAGGGTAAAAAATTATAATTTACCTGTCCGACTTGTGGACGCAATCGACACACTGAAAAGGTATAAAAGGTTTAAACGGGACGCAATCGAACGACGCCTAAAAAAATTATTTGCTTAATAAGGTGGGAAAGTGGTTGGGTAATCACTTGAAAAAACAGAATTTTGTATTGTTACATGATACTACTTAACTAGTACATAAGATTTTAAGAATTTGAAAAAACTGTCTGAATACATTTAAAAATTCCGAAAATAAGAATTTAAATAAGTTCGTAATTAAAGGAAAAAATGGGAGTGAGCATGCTCACCCTGTATGTGTATACAAATAAATACCTATCTGAAGACATTATTGTTAATACATTTTTTTTCCATAATTATTATTTGACAAAAGAATGCTTTCGACCTATACACCGACACACAAGCTCACACAATAATTAAATGAGATATCTAACAATTTTGAATTTATACGCGAAGTGATAAGTGAAAATTGATTTCATATTTAATATACATATATAGTATCGATGAGGCATTGAATAAACGTTAGACAATACAAAATATTATTTAAAAAAATAATGCATGTGACTCCGGTTGATCTATTGTTTGTTATTATTAATTTTTTTTTTTAATAACAACTCCGAATATAATGATAATGATAATAATAAAATAATATGTTATTAGTCAACTTAGGGTTTTTTCAGGTTACAACACATTCCAAAGCGACCGAGAGCTAATAACTTATTTTTTGATTTTCAGCTGAATATAATAGTTTAGTTTATTTTAAATATAATGCTTTTATTATGCAACTTTTTCAGGKGCTAAGAAAGGGAAAGCTCTTAAACAATAAAATATTAATTTACCAATAAAACATAAACATTGATGATTTGCTACAAAATATCTTATCGGCACAACTTAAAAATTATTTTAAACGTTAAACAATCTAAACTGTGGAGTTATTGATATATAAGTTAATTGGTATAAATCGAATTTTTGGTGATTTTATTTTAACCGCTGACCACCGGATCCGGTATTAACCAGCTACCAAGGCACACATGTAGTATAAATTAAAATTTTTTTTTTTAAGGAAGTTAAATTTATTGTTTACGAATTGCCACGAACTTGGTGAACCTCAATTATTATAAAAATAAACGACAGACATCAACCACTCAACTTACAGTAATTGTGAGTATACAAACCGGAAGAGTGTTTCCGGCGAATAAAAACGCCCCTGAAATTGTAGGAAACTTAACGCACATACACGTGTACATTGGGTTGCGGCCGGAAGGCGAAACTTAAAAAATCGTTTCAAAAACAAAACATACCACCTATAAATTATAATACTTAATAATAATATTAATATTATATTATACAAATATTTAATGTCATGACGAGATAAATCATGTTTATTGTGGAATTATAAAAATGTATTTATATTGTAAGTACACTTATTAACGTATTGCGTGTAGTAACAATGGAGACGAATTTAATTTCACTATTTAATGATTTTATTAAACAATTAATATGATTAACAATACGTACATGAAGTTAGCCGCTCGACTTTGAAACTGAGACTCCAAAACAGCGCCAATATGTATTGCTAATTTATATAGGTAATTAATATTAATATACATAATAATATTTTGATTGTATTTCAGTATTTTGTCACCTAACCTAATTTAGGTTGGTGCTTTTTTATATTACATTAATCCTTCCTTCACAACTGTAGTGATATGGACTTTAGATTCAGAACGAAGTAGTTTTTATGGTCATGTGTTTTTTACTTTTGTGTCTCTATCATCGAAGCAGTAAAAATTATTCAATCGTCGAGGGGTGGTCAGAAATAAAAAATTTCAAATGCTTATATTAATATAACCGGGAAAACAAGAAAAATAAGGTGGGCAAATAAATAGTATACCACTCTGAGTAGATGTCAAGTGGGTCAAATAAGTAATTGGTTTTGTTAAATTAGAATATTAAATTCTAAATCGTTGCCTATACAAAAAAAAAACAATACTGACTAAAGACGATTTGAGTTTGAACATGTAACAAAAGATTCTCATTAAGTTTTTATGTTAGAAATTATAAAATAGTGTGAGGTTTTTTTTTTATTTTAATTTTAAGTTCTAATGTTGAGAAAATTCATCAAAATCATGAAAACTGATAATGTAACACTGTAAAACATTCAATTTTTATGGTAATTTTTTTTTCTATTAAATCAATTTAAATCCTTAGTACATTAGGCAAATATAATAAATACGATGGATAATGTATATGAAGAGGTTTATTTCAATTTACTCTATTAGTGTGTTACTAATTGTAAAATAAATTACTATATTGATAACAATAATATCATAAAAAATGTTTTAGCAACACATGCAGAACACCATCTTTGCTTGAAATCGTTTCTGATATTGTAATGAATAATGATTTATCATTAAATTTAAATTGAACACACTCATTACAGTGACCCCCTAGAAAATACTGTACAATACCATTGATCGGTACCAATTTGCCCATATTTTTGTACTTGAATTTAAAATGCATTTACTATACATAATTTTATGTGCGCATGTTCTATTAATTAGAAATAATGGTAATTCATCAGTTATTTTTATTTCTATACATCGATTTGCTGATCATAAATATTCAGGTTTTTATTTATCTAATAAAATTAGGAAACAAATAGGGAAGAAAAATCAATTTTGCTCCCCTCCTCCCATGAACTCAACACACAAGTCATTAACAATAACAAATCATTATTCTATAATACTAAAGTACTCAAATTAATCAAAAAAATTGTTATACCTTGTTGTATTTAAATATTTGTAATTGATTAATTCAAAATATTATTATTGTTACCACAAAAAGCATCAACCTTCTTTTAAATGTATATATTTACTTCTGTTCAAATTTTATGAGGATCTTCACACCTAACAACTGTTATAAATTCACTTGACTGAAAATCTCAGCATATTTTTTCAAGATTTGCTATTTAACAAAAACATTGTTGGTTAACTCTTCGTGGGTCCGCATATGAGCATTATGTTCAGTGGGGCAAATCGTTGTGTCGAAATAATAAAAATAAAAATATACCTATACTTGTTAATACACGAAAAATATAGAAACAATATTTATTTTTTTATGTAAACAATTTAAATTTTTTCATATCAATATGAAACAAAAGTGGATAAAACTATATATTGTATTTATACATTTAATTTCTTGTATTTGTTTCACAACAGCAACACATTTTAAATTGTTATATTACTATCAATTTTCATCTGAAACCATTTATAAAAGTAATTAAATTAAAGTAATGACAAAAATGAACTGTTTATTTAAAAAAAATATTTATATTACATCATTAATTCCAAGTTTCTTTTTTTAACTTTTGAAAATCGTTCAATGATATTATTATCTGTTGAGGCCATATTCTTCAATGAAGATATTTTATAATAATTATTGATAAGTGTATCGTAATACTTGTCTTAGAAAAATAAATAGCTTAATCTCAAGGGGGTAGGAAGCTAATGCCCCAATAGCCCCTCCCTAAAACCCTTCAATGCAGATGTCACATATAGGTATGCATGCATATTATACTAAAGTCAAAGAAAGATTTATTATAATGTTGTTATTTATTGTTATAAATTATACAGTTCACATAGGTTTTAATTGTTCGTTAACAATTAATAAATTTGTTTAGGTAACACATAATATGTATATATTTATTTTTATAAGTAATTGTAATACTTATTCAAAAACTTATCTATCAAAACAATAAATTCCCATAAAATGTTGGTTTGGGTACAAAAATCCGGTATATAAGCAGCAATTATACACTGATAAAATCGTGTAGGTAATTGCCAATAATATTACATTCTATAAATAAAAGTTTTCACAAAATAACAATAATAAGCATTCACAAAAAATAAATTAGAAACACATGAATATAATAAATAATTATACATAATAATATAAAGTACATTAACATGGTTTATAATTTCTGTAGGTATTTATGTCTGTGTCGACAGTAGTTACAGAACAAAAAAACAAATAAAAGTAAAAAATTACGATTTGTCTTTCTAAATTATTTTAACTATCGATAAGAAAATTAACGACTAGTAATCCATTTTAATGGACCGCAGGATATTACCTCTCTAACAGCAGTAATTGGGTAATCACACGTTTTATAGAACTTGAAATGTATGCTAAGAAAAACATGAGCCTATCAAACGAGAAATAAAGAATATTTATTTTTTGTAAGTTAACAATAATGATAATCAAGTTCAGAAAAAAAAACCTTAAAAAGATCCCCCTACCACCTGCGTTCTTAAAGAGGTAGTAAACATGTTAAATGATAAAAATATAATAAACTTTACTAATAAATACGCAATTATACATTTCAATATCACAATTGAACCCCAAAAGTGACTTTTATGTAATTTAAAAATTTATCAACATACCATAATAAATTGAGAATTCGTTGCAGTAATGATCAAAAAGCAAAAATTACCATGATAATTCGAAATTATATTAATATTAGCTTTACCGGTATGACTTTCAATTGGAAATATAATAATCCTAATAATTATCCTAACGAACTAATTTATTGTTCACACTATAGTGAAAATGTGCGTTATCTTAAATAATAAATTGAGATGAATCCGGTACATTTTGTGGTAGTTATTTTCTTTGATTTCAGAAAGTTGATGTATTATGACGTATTAACACAAAATAGTTTAATTTACCTAAGTTCGCGTGATGATATTATTTATCAACAACTGAATATTATTGACCAGATTCGGAGATCACAGAATATATTGTACGATAATAATTATAATAATAATGACAATGAAATAATATTATTATTCGAGACGTTGGACGTCAGACATACCTATTATATACGTCCAATGCGTAATGATACTGCAGTGGAGGTACATATAAATAATAATAATTATAATAATCATAAGATCGGACTACATCATCACCCGCTGCCCTAATTAATCTAATATTGTATAAACATAAATTAATAAGTGGTCACTGTTGTAGAGATTTCCAGTCGTCTAACCGCGTTAAAAATATATGTAATAATAGTATCATTGACATAATATAATCATTATAATATAGTTGGTCATTATTGATTAATATCAATCATCATACTGCATTGGTGACGACGACGTCATTCTTAGGGACAACGAGCTGCGTTCGATGCGACTGAGAATTTTGTTGATCACTTTTAACCGGACTTCAATACTAGTGTTCGCCAAGAGGTCCACCTGTGAAAACAAAATACATAATAATATAACCTTCATCGACGTTAATAAAATATTGCATTATTATTGTTTAGTGTAGGTATATTCATATTTATTGTACGGAATTCGGTTGCATAACATAACGCGTAATTTTATATTAATTATTATCATCATCACATTGGTCTATCGGTGAATAATATTATATTTTATGATGACTGCGCGGAAAACTAATAAGTAGGTAGTTAAATAATGATATATAAGTACCGACATACAGTTAACGTAATCGATGTAGTACCTATATTATATTATTTACTATATACACCGCGAGATTAGAAAAAATTTGTCGTTTTCCTAAAAGATTTTGTACAACAATAATAATACGAATGTTGTCTTTCACAACCTACGTATAGCGCACTGTTAATCGTTTATGGTTTCCAAAAATTGATAGTACGAAAAAAAATCGATCGCATCAAAATTTTCCAAATCTTGTTCTTGAGATTGTTTCAAAGAATACTAGAAAAAAAATAAAGAATCGTCACAGATAATATTCAGTATACTGAACCTAACCTTGTAAGGTGGAATTCACAAACAGTATTATACTTTGGGCTGAACACTGCGCGGGACGAACACTATAGAATGAGGATAATTTCAATTATATGTTTTTAGTAACAGACGTTAGGATAGCTGCCAGATACACATTAATTGGTTAGTCATGTTTTATGTATTTATGTATATTAATATAATATGCTTTATAATAATATCGTATATCATACAAATTATTTTTCTGCGAGTAAAATGGTAAATAATTACAGTAGAACCTCATTAATCTGGACCCCATTAGTCCGGACACTTCGCTTAATCCGGACAGTTGTCTAATATAACGAAATATACGCAGTATATGCCGTAGATTAAAATAAACATAATAGCTATCACATTTTAATAGAAGAAGAGATTTTTGAAAGCCTCACCACTGCAGAAAACTGAAATGGATGAATATACGAACAAGATGAAGTAGACGATAGTACCAAGTCTAAGCTAAAACTTGGTGAAATTAAAGACAATATAAATATTGTCCTTAAATATTATGTTGAGATAACGACGATGAAAACATATCTGAATATTACGAACATTTGAGACATCTGCGTGAATTATTAATACCAGAAATAAATGCGAAGGGAAGACAACAATAGACTACCAGTTTTTTTCAAACCAGATAATGAAAGTGTGCCTAAATATAAATTAATTATGATTACATGCATTACGTTGATATGTAATGTTTTTGCTGGATCTAATATTATGTTGCATTGTTGCAATATATCATATATAGTAATTAGTTTAATATAATATTTTTAAATCTATAACAGATACATGTCTTTTGGTTATGTTGTCTAATCCGGACTTTCATTAAATCGGACAACCTAGAGCCCTTATTAGTCCGGATCAATAAGGTTCTACTGTATTTATCTTATTTGTAGCAAAGCAATAATATTATATTCCGTCATGGTTATTGGTTGTTGATAGAAAAACGTTGATTTCTAAAATTATTTGACGTTACATTTATCAAAAAATGCGTGTATTATGATATTAGATTGCAGGGCGTGATTAAACACTAATTTTTTCATAATAATAAGGTAATAACTACCACAATATTCTAAAACGGGACACTAACATTTTTGAATTTTAAATTTTTTTTTTCTAAACATTAAAAATACTCACAATAACATAAACGTATTATAAAACGTTACTTTAGCAAAAAAAAAAATAGTTTTGCAGATTGTATAATATAAAATATTATGTAGACTGGTATCGGAAGAATTTTATTTTCGATAGTAGATGGAATAACAGCGATTTAAGTGTTATAAATTATAACTAGATACTAAGAACGTATGATAATTTAAATGTAAAATTATTTGAGTATTTAACGATACATATAAAAAAATAACTTGAAAATATATCACAATATCAAAATGAAAAATATTATATGTAACAAAATTATGTAACATACATAACATTAAAAGCTAAAGAAAAATAATGTTGAAAACCTTGATAACGTTGAATGAACAAAACCGTTTTAGTTTAGTTTTTAGTTCAGCGAATTTTTTTTTTCAATTCGTTCCCTGAATTCTAGTCAAAATGTAATTTAAACTAATAGAACTTCCCACCCACATGTGTTATCGCCGTACTATAAATGATATACTAATTTAAATATTAATATTTTTCATATCTACTTGTTAAAAATTCAAAAAATATCGTAAAGAACTAACGAGAGTAAGGTACTGAAACGTTTAATTAATGTTCATTATACAATTTTAAACTGATAAAAATTAGTTCAGTCTAATATATAATTTAACGATTCAAAACTAAAACTGCTGAACGTACATAATATAATTTTGCAGGTGTGTCATGCATTATGGTAATAACACGAAGAAAACAAATGCGGGTACGATGTCCTCCGATTGCTTTAACATTAATGCCCTTAGAGAGGACTTCGTACCCAAATGTGCCTCCGTCTACATTAGCATAGCATATTGGTACTAAAATATGTGTTCTGCAGTTCAAATTTTGGTTGATAACTTTAATATATATAAGTGAATTTGAATTATATGGATTCGGGATTAGAACATTTTTCGTGATTCTCTCATTGAATTTTACGGTATTTCAGTTATTAAGCAAGTAAAAAGTATGTGAAATACAAATTCTTAAAAATAAATATCGCATAAAAAAGTAACTAAGATTACCTACCTGTAAGAGGTCGCCATTTACACACTTGTAACAAGCAGACAACACAAGCGAATAGTGTGAGATAATAATAATAGTTTATTTATTTCGGCGAAAAAAGATTCTCGTAAAGTAAAAATATTTGAAAATGTACATAGCTCATTTAAAAATTAAAATATCATAAAAAACCAACGAGATAACATAGTTTATGTTCTTAGCTAAAAATGTGATGATAGGTCAATTCACTCACTCGCTAAAAATCAAAACTATCAGCACACTATTGAAACTATTGAACGAAAATTTTCTATGTAGTAAGTGTACAAGCCAGAGACAATACGTCGAGCGGGTGCAATTTTCTCATATTAAAATGAGATAATGAGGTAAATGTTACACATCATATTTTCAATTTTAAAGCCAGTCGTGGGTGTTTTAAAATTGTTAATTGTTTGTATATATTGAAATACTCATAAGTCATTACTCGAAAAGCCTATGAGAAACCCTAGATAATAATGTTACATTTTATAAGAGTAAATTCACTCTATAAATTAATTTGATATGTTACGCGCTTGTAAGACGGAGACAACACGACGGGTGTCCTGTTAAAAACTCTAAAAACAGTTTCAAGTGCTAATATCATATGAACAGCCTGCATAATAATATAATATAACAGAAAACGACGGAAAATGTATTATTCGGAAACACCCCGCGCGCGCCACCCAACCGACGACGCACCGAAGCGATCAAGCCCGTCAAGCAAACTCTTGCATCACATCCGTGTCTTCGGCTACCAGGGTCCCATGCACACGGTGTAGTCGCAATGGTCGGGCAGACGGACGCCGTCCCGGACGAGAGCAACACCGGCAAATCGGCGGCTGCGGTGGTAACGGGGTCGTAGGGTGCCGCGTCTCGGTAGTTTGCGGTACCAGGGTCGCGGCCACCACTGCACGGTCCGGCGCGCGCGCTTGATCAGTCACGGCATCGCCACCGCCAGGATCGCATCGCCCCGAGTAGAATGATAGTACACGGACAGATCAACCGTACGATTCCGGGGCATCGCACCCACACGATCCGATGTCCCCACACTGTTTAGGTAATCGGACTAAAAATCCCCAGACTACAATATATTACTCACAACCGCAAGAAAATGATTTTAATATTGAATTACAAATAGGTGTATTATAATATATTATACTTATATCATTCAAAAAATTAAAATATTATTTAGTATTATAAATAAATGTTTCGAATGATCGAGTGAATATGGTATAAAAATTATAAAATATAGGTAGGTTGATAATAGTTATAAATAATACATCTATACTTGTAGTAGATTTTAAACTTTTAAAAGTATAGTAAATTAAAATATTTTTATCATAATAATAAACACAATTAGTTATTGAATTGAAGTTGAATAGTAATATTTATTTTGAACACATGAAGTTCTTACATCTTATATTATATTATCGTCAAAATTTTATAGAAAACGTATAATATTTATTTCAAGGTACTATATATATATTTATTTTTTGAATGAATGAATAAATTATAAGTATAATAATTTATAATATACCTATTTGTAAACAATATTTGTAAGTATAAATCATTTTCATGTGAGTAATAACGTAATCTGGAATTTTTTGTTCCGGTATTCACTGTTTAATACGCACCAATTAATCTTTTGCCTTAAACAGGACAATAACGAACAAAAGTATATTTTGTTATTGTACCTCACCCAACCTAACCAGCCGCGTAGCCAGAATTTTTCTTAAGTGGTATTTCAGATTCTGAGCGGAGCGATGAATGTATTGATTTTACCATGATGTGTGTTTTTTTTTTTTTTTTTTTTTTTTTTTTTCATATCCGGTTTTTTTTCAACTCCTGTGAATATAG